CTGCGTAGTTTAAGAAATTCATCCATTTCTTATTCAATTCTGGGTCACAGGGCGCCTGACCCTATCCCAGATGTCATAAAGTGAGAGATGGCGCATTTGCCGCATTAATTAATTAATTAATTTTTTTTTTTTGCTATGTCTGGTTTTATTACTATGTGCATATTAGTATTGTACAGCACTTTGGTCTACCAGGTGTGTTTTTAAAGTGCTATATAAATAAATAAATGATGATGATGATGAAAGAAATCTGTTATCACAACTCTTTGGGCTCAAACTGTAAGAAATAAATGTGTAAAATTACAGAATATGTTCTGGTAGGTCATTGCCCAAACAATAAGCCTCACAATAACAGCACATGTGTTGTCACTGTGAGTGTTTGATTTGACTCTGAAACAAAGTAAATGTTTGCCATCTCTTATGCTGGAGATTTTAGGTTGGGGGGTAGCATTAATTATGCAGACAAGAGAGAAAGATCAGAGCTAATTACACTGTCAGATACACAAACAGCCACACAGAGACAATTGCACACACCTGGGAAGCTGTTATGTAGGCAACAGCCAGCTGAGCCTGGTCGTACAACATCTTCTCAAAGTGAGGAACATGCCAGGAGGAGTCTGTGGAGTAACGATGAAAACCCTGAGATAAAGAGACATAAAGAGGGAGGCTGCTTAATTTTACTCACTAAAATTAGTTGAACCTATCAGTACTACAACATAAGTATATCTGACTTGAACTAAAAACACGATTATATTAAAGAGACCAAGAGTACATCTGTGTGTTTTTGTGTCTGACATGAACAAACCAGGCTTGCACATTAGAGAAGCACCACTTCTGACAACATTCTGACAACTTTTTATTTAATTTTCTTGTTACTTGATGAATAAAATGTCCTAACCGTACAAAATGCCCTTTTTAAGAGCTTTCCTCTACAGTTTTGATTCAGTCTGTCATGCATCTCTATGACTCGCCACTGCATTCTGTATGATTTGATGGGTTGGGCATCACTGACCACATGCACAAAATAGCACTAACATATTTTGGTTTTCTGGGTAAACTTCCAGGTTGTCTTGGTATCCTTGTCTGTTCGAGCACAAATGCCCTTTTAAGACTTTGCTTTTTTGATGAGTTCTGACAGATGTGGGAAAAACAGCGTTTTATTAAAACACACCTAAACTTAAACATGCCAGTTTCTACTAGTGAATTTAAAATGATCATAAAATGGAATGGATTGAAAGAGACCTGTGGATGTTTTTCATGAGAGGCTTCTAATATTTTATGTTATGGATACTTGTATATAGTACGTTATGCTGCAGACCTCACAGAACAGAGCAGGCCTCAAGGACATTGGATGTGGCATTAATTATGCTAGAAAAAGGTTGAGCCAGGGTAGAGTTGGGTTGCAAAGCAGCATGCAGAGTCAGCAGAAACAGTGGGGACAAGCTACATGACAGCTGCCAGTGTCACAAACTGTATCAGCTGAGCATCAGCTGAACTAAAAGCATCTGCCCTGTCAGCCAGAATTTAGGGTTAATTTATAAATTTTTCTGACAGTTAATTTACTCCCTATTTTTCATGAATCTTTACCACTTAACCTGGTGGTTTGAATTTTGTTTTTCTGTGTTTAATATTTATTCATATTTTTTTACAATACTTTGCCATTCATAATCCTGTTACAAAAAAAAACAACAACAAGAAAGAAAAACCCTGAATTACAACACTAGTTTGGTTTGTTTATACCTGTGCAATGTGGTCATGGATGCCTCCCAGTGCCATCATGCGAAGCGTGTGCAAGGCCATCTGGAGAGCCTCGACCCCTTCCGATGTGGAGCGATTCACAGTCCAATAGGACATGAGGAACATCAGATTCACTACAGATGCATAGGCAAGAGAGAGAAACAGGAAAAGACTTGCTGTCAGGTAGTCAAATAAAGAATTTTCTACAGGCCTTAAAGCTACAGAGCTGACCACTTGGGCTCATGTCGACCTGGTGAGGGGAACTTTGGAGCGTCTCTAAAGCCTCCATACTCTTCCTCATAGGAATGGGCGAGCTGCTGGAAGCAGCGATTAGCCACGTCTGGAGCCAGTGGAGGACTTTGGCCTGCGTTTGCAGTGATGGTTGTGCCTTTTTTCAGGGCCTCAATGATCCTCTCCCCACTGGACTCCAAAGCAGGACGATTATTCTGCCACTTTAGAACACAAGTCATACTTTATGTCATTCATACACTTCCACAGAGACAGCACGGGAGGGTAAAGAGAACAAACAAAAATATAATTTAAATCTCTTTAACGACTTTTTTTCATCCCCACTAACAATGCATGAAATCTGATATAATAATGTTCCCTAATTCTTGAAGTTTTACTACCTGATCTATGATTCTGGTGAGGACCGTCTTGAACCCAGGTCTACCTCCACGGTCTCTGGGAGGGAAGTAGGTGCCTCCAATGAAAGGTCGAAGTTCAGGAGTCAACCACACACTCATAGGCCAACCACCACCTCCACTTGTTGCCTGGAAATGATTCCCAGGCAAAAATTATAAAGGGGCACTAGCAGAGTGAAGCTGAAAGAGATTTTCGTGTGAAAATGTAAATGTATACAAACCTGCACAAAGGTCATGTAGACCTTATCCACATCAGGCCTCTCTTCTCTGTCTAGCTTGATGCAGACGAAGTTTTCACTAAGGATTTTGCCAATTTCCTCATCCTCGAAGGACTCCCTCTCCATAACATGGCACCAATGGCATGTGGAATAGCCCACTGGAGGTCAAGCAAAAGAAAATTCTTAATGTAGTGATCCAGATATCTGTAATCTAGTTCTCGGAGATTTTTTTTTTTTTAATCTTACCCGATAAAAAGATAGGTTTGTCTTCATTCTTTGCTTTGTCAAAAGCATCCTTCCCCCATGGATACCTGACCAAAAAAGGAAAAAAGAAAAACAAAACGTGGCATTTGGCCGTGCTTTCAGAAAGTATGTCCATCTGAAGTTTAAAAAGCACTCACCAGTCGACAGGGTTGTGCGCATGTTGTAGCAGGTATGGTGACCTCTCCTTAGCTAACCTGTTGGAGTGTTTGTGAGAAGTGGATGATGGCCCTTCACTCCCTGACGCCATACTCATGAAGACAGATGGACTGGACACACAAGATGCTTATGAATGTGGATCCTGATTCTTATTAGCAAAACAGAGCGATCTTGATGTTGCTGCCTCGGTGTGGGCCCAAATAAAGTGACTAAATACCTTAATGTTAACAATGTTAAGCCAGCCCCAGGATGTCATTGTGTTACCCTTGAGTAATACGATAAAAATACAGCTACAACATTCAGTTCAAATTTCTCTATACATACCAGTTCCTTACAGAAACACTGTCAATACCCTGTGTAGTATATCGACAAAAGAATATATAAAATAATATACTAATATTAACAGGTTAATTTTTTCTAATTACAATTCTTGAGCGTTTCTGGGGCTGTACAAGCTTGTTCAGCAGCTCATTAAAGCTGCAGTAGCTGTCAAGCAGCTGTTAGTCCAGACTGGCAGCCGTGGCGAACTCCATTTGAATATTCTCCAATTTATTATGACTTAGCTTAAAAATAAAAGTTCATACCCCGAAAAACGTTAACAAACAGCTTTCATTTTATGAGTCATTTTTGTTGAATTCGGGTGGAAAAGCTGCACATATGTGCGTGATTTTTCACGTGTAAGCTAAAATTTTCATCGTTAGCGGAGGGTGGTCGATGAGTTACCAAGAAACCAGCAAGAAAAGCTAACCAGTTAATAGAAACCAAAACATATTGTCAGCCTTTGTACTTACACCGAATTGAAATGCGTGGCATTATGATTTTAATCAAATGTTTGCTCCTACGGGGGAAAGTCTCTGGCTACGTGTTAGCCTTAGGGACATATTAATATGAATGATTTTATATGGGATTATGGTGTGGTTCGACACTCGTTAGTGCTATTGTGCCACAAGCAACAACCGTATCATAATACAACAGGTCGAGACTTTTATGCTAAGCCAGCTATGCTTGCTGTAAAATGTCAAAGCAGTGTTTACGTACAGCTAGCATTAGCTACACATTAGCTGAGGCAGCGTTACCTGAGGTAGCAGGCCGCCCGGGGATGGAGGAGCGGTGACCTGTCGCTTGGTGGGTGGGGAATTTGTCTGAAACACCTTAAGTCACCCTGTGATTTCTGCTGTGGACTATACGCTCCCGAATAAGCTGCAGTTAACACGCATGTAGGTCCCGCGCGGCTATGTTTGGACGCCGACCGACGCCATGCTAGTCTTAACATCCTAATCCACCAAGTGTGTCACTTTAGCAAGCTAACGTTAGCTAGTTTGTGAAGAGACAGCAGTCAAAACTTCCAGGCATGAGTTAAACACTTTTTTTTTGCAATACCCTCACTTGACAGATGGAGGCGCGACAACAAAGCAGGAGTGGGGATCACAGGAGATAATGTATTTGTTTTGGTGATACAAAATAAAAATGACAAACTGTGCAGTAACGTCTTCTCCCAAGTTTGTTATTTTCGTAAACGAATTTAAATTAAATATAAAATCTTTACATTACCTAAAGGAAATAAAACACAAATTCTAATATATTATAAACCATCTTCGCATTGCATTGGATATGTGAGATAAAATATATATCTGCACTTTTTTCCTACCTCCTTGTGTATGTGGCTTATAATTTAATATTACACCCTGTTCATATGCTTATTTTTCTACACATTTTTTATTTTATTAATTGTTATTAGTCTTGAATTTATACAACACAAAATGTGTTTGTTTTTGTATTTGACACATTAAATAAAAATTTAAAAACAATTTATTGTTTATTTAAAAAAGCAATACAATACTTATGTACAAGCAAAATATTTAAGCCTCTAGTAACTGTACAATATTTATATCTTTTCAATGAACCGATGAGTTATCTATGGTTTAAATAATAAAACACACACACACCGTCATATTCAAACTAAAGAAATACAATACTTTTTCAGTTATGGTTTCATTAGTGCAGAATTGAGCTCAACAACTGTTGACACAAAGTCCTTGCGAGTTGCCAAGTCTGAGGCAACGATGTTCACACCTGATTGCTGCTTCAGCCATTTCAGGAGCTTAGGCAGACCCCTCCTAATAACGTTGGGGAAACTGTCGCAGAGACGAAGGATGTAGATGAGTATCCTATGATCTGCTGGAAGAGTCATGTTCAAACCACATACAAAGAAATCTGTGGGGAACAAGTTGAAGCTTAGTAAGTATCTCAAATTATATTGTGTATAACCTGGCTGTTTAAAACTTTTTTCTCTCTGAATAGATGTTATTTTGGATATTTACATCCCAAGTAATATTGTTTTTTGATCACCAAAGATGAATGTCTTGCTGTCTATAACTTATAACATGGCATAGTTGAGAAAACTCACAATTGGAAGTCTTTTCCTTTCCCAAGGCTTCAGATATTTTTGATTTAACTTGTGCACGGTCCATGCTATTGGCGTAGTAATAAGTTATTTTTTTCCACATTTCAGGATGGTAGTTTGCTGGATAGTCATATGAAACTATGACATTTTTGCCTTGGTCCCAGCAGTTCCGCAGTGTGGGGATGCCCTGTTGTAAGATAATGAATATCTTATTTTGAAACTATAAGCAAAGGTTACAGTAAGTACTTCAATAATGAGACTTATTTGACCTACTGATCTAAGAATAAATGAATACATTTTTTAAAAAAGAAGAAAAACTGTACACTACCGGGGGGACGAGTTTGCTTCCAAACATGGTCTTAATGAAGCCGATAAGATGGTTGTGAAGTTTATCTTTAATGTTTTTCTCAAAACCATTGAAGTTTGAAAAAGCCAGGATGATGACTTCTTTAGGATGGGCCACTGTCCAGGCATGTATTTCCCCGAGAACAGTCTGAACTCAATGGGAAAATTAGCTGGCATTAGATAAAAGAAATCTTCTTTATAGGGTTCCTTCATGACACAGTAAGTGAGCACATGTGTTATAAATCACATTAACTAAGGCTAATTACCAAAATAGAACAGACACTTCATAAAGGAAATCAGTAACACCTGTGTTTATTTGCCTTTGGTCATATTTTAAAACTTGAACTAGTTTTAAAACAGGTCTTGCCTAAAGCTTAGTAAAGGTCTTCTTAAGTTAAAAAAAATCTGCTAAAAGTTCAGTTATTTTTATATCAAAAAATTTGATATTTTAGTCTTGTACTTTGGTATATATAGTCTTGTACATTTACATAATATGCTTATTATTACCTCAACATCAGTGCTTGTGTACAGCCCATGGTAAAAGTAAAGCCTAGTGGGGTGGTGGTCATTACGTTTGCGAGCGATCCTCAAGTCAAAGTAGCGAACTCCTGCTTCCAGTTGCATTGTGATGTTGTATTCCTGTGATAAAAACCAACATCAGTCAAACATTCCATTCTCTGTTTGTTACGTTCACCTATAAATATGATAGCGGCAGGTCAGAAACTCCCCTTACCTGGGTCATTCCCCATGTTCGTACTATTCTGCGTAAGCAATAAATCCAGCTGAATCGTTTTAGATTGTCAGGCTCTATAATAGCAGAGCTGGCATCCAAATCATAACTCACAGAGTCATGGCTTCCTACGAATGAAACACACAAATACCTTAACAATGTTGTTTTAAAATGCTGTACAGATTTGGAAGTTGTTGTTTTTTTATGGTGTATTTATGGGATTTTTTTCTCATGTAGCTCTATAGTCCTCTTTTAAATGTAATGTGTATGGGCTCAAATTGTGGTCATAAATATTTTGTACTTGTAAATCAGGATTTGTATGTGTAAAAAGAATGTGTGTGTGCATAAAAAACATTTGTGTGTGGACTTAGCCAAAACATACAAGTGAAACTCTGCACTCAAGTTTCAAGTTACTAGTACAAATTTTGACCCTAGTTTTCTTCCTTTCATCTGATTGGTCAATGTCATGTCAATCACAAATTTAACAATCCAATCAGAGAACAGATGGGTTTGGCTGTGGAGGGGCGCTTTTTTGAACTGCAGGTCCTTGAAGGGTAATACAGTTTGAAGCTGGAAGATCTCTATATAAATATCCGATAGAAACTAAGTCCCCTAAATTTCAGTAGCTGTTGAAAGGATAAAGTTGTGGTATATCAGTGGTTAGAAATACCATTATTACTTTAAAGGTTAAAGGTTAATTAAAGGTCCTTTCACATTGGATGCAGCATGTGCTGCTAATGCTAGCTGCTAACTAAAAGCCAAGGATCCAAAGTTTGTTGCGCTGGCTGCTGAGCTCTGTGGGGTTTTGCGGCAGCTCTACCTGTACTAGATGCACCTGCTCCTTGTCGTTTCTATCTCTGACTTTATGTCCTCTACAAGAGTTTCTGTTTTTTTTTATCTTCAAATGTTCAATAGAAACATGTAACGCTAATTCATAACGAAGAAAGCTTTGTAACTATCCCCACTAGTGAAGACTGTCATTTCCACAACACTGCCATTTGGGTACAGTCTCCGCACTAGCCAAGTACAACTACTGTATTTCTTGCAAATAATTAACAAATTAATTAACAAATGCAGCAGAAACCACAACCTTTTTCATTCATTTTGTTTGTTTGAATTCTGACTGAATAAATGCTACCACTAAATGCTATTGGAGGTGCCCCAAAAAATCTGCAGTGTAGATTGCAGAAAAGTATTTCTATTAACAAAATGGTCCGATTTGACACACTGTACATGCTGTGTTTGATGTTGGACACAGTTGCACTGTATACATTTACCTGGTATGGCTAGTTTGAAGAGAGGAATTGTCCAAAGTTCAGATGGTAGTTGTGACATCCAGTCAGTGTAGTTCGCGATCTTTATATTCCCGTTCTTTGCAGACATCTACACAAAACATTTTTAAACTTACGGGAGAGTCTCTTAGAAATTCAGTGGTTCTAGGCAACAGTGAACACATTAAGCACAAACATAAAGATCACAAGTTTTAAGAATTAACACTTACCCTGCCAAAGTCATGCACCAGCTGTAGTTTACTTCGTTATTCCTTCAGATTTGACAGTGTACACAAACTGACACAGTCAGACAATCAGAGGCTTAGCTTTGTCACTGCTCCTCAGAAGGACTTCATTGTTATGTTGTAAGAGTTAAAACGTCAGCTGTCTTACCGGTTTTGCAAGGATGCAATCAAAACAAGGAATGTTTGATCAACAAGATATAACGCCCCAATGAAGCTTCCTCATACCCTCAGTATTCACTAGGAAAAAAACAAAGGCTTTCACTACACTTTTAATTCTGATATTAGTGCAGACTTCAGTAGTGGATTTCAGTCTGCACTGAAAAAAGTAAACTAAGGCACTTGTTTGATGAGTTCGTTGATAAGTTTAACCGATGTCTCTAGCAATAAGATCTCTGGAAATTATTGAGAAAAAAACCAAGGGCTGAAACACTTTTTTGTACTAAAAAGGTTTGCAGGGTGCATATTTATCAAGAGTACCATTACAAACTGTTCAGAAAAGAGATCATTACCTGCAGGACAGACATCAGTAACAATATTTAAATTTTTTTTGATAGACATGCTGAAGTGACGAAGGAAGCCTGAAAAGAATCTTTAATACAAATCAGTACTCTGTCTCCTTTGGTTTTCCTGTCAGTTTGACAAATGCCGCCCAATGTTATGTCCAAATCGGAGAGATTTTTGTTTAGCTAGACTACAGCAAGGACAAAAATATTGAAACAGCATTCACACATTATTAAATGTAATAATCCTTTTCTGTTTTTTGAAATCATGTAGGCAAATTATTTCAGTAGGGCTGCTTAGCACTTGTTGTCTCAGCAGGCTGTTTATTGATCTTTATGAGAATATCTGAATTATTTTAGCTAGACAGGCAGGCAAATTTCTTTAGCTTCAGAGAGCTACTCCTTGAAGCTTCTGCCTCCCTCTCATTCACACACATGTTCTGTCTTGCTTCTATTGACTTTCATTCCTCTTCTCACCAGAGCATGCCTCCATCTCTCCAGGCTCAGCATTATGATCTTCATAATGCCGTCTGCAAACAGTATAGTTTACAGAGACTTCTGCCTGATTTCATCAGTCAACCTGTTGCTACTGTAAAGGCTCAGAGCAGATCCCTGATGTTGTCCCACACCGCCTTAAATCCATCTCTCTCTGACCGAGATCACTGTCTTGTTAACACTGAAAGTCTTATGCCACCCTCACATATAGTGCTTCTCTGCCACTCCTGACTTTCTCGTGCAATACCACAGTTTTGCCGTTGACACCCTATCATATGCTTTCCCTGAATAACAAAAGACTTAGTGCAACTCCTCCTGACCTTCTCTATACTTCTCCATCAACACTCTCAAAGCTAACATCACATCTGTAGTGCTCATTCTAGGCATGAAGCCGTACCGTTGCTCACTGATGGCCACCTCTGTTCTTAAAAAGAGAAACTAGCTGTCAACAGGGTTAAACCACTGAGGAGGAGGCCATTCTTAAAATGTATTCAAACATTAATTTCCACTCTTGTAAATTACAAAGTGAACTCATACGTAATAAATCACATCCTTACTCTTGTCTGTACACAGATTGTTCTCTGCGACATTCTTAAGCCATCTGGTTTGACGAGTAGTCTAGCCTACTGTTGACATGACTCACCTTAACTTGTGCTACCGGTAGATCATGTTTTTAGCATCCACAGCTATCAGATTGGTACATATGGGCAAAGTAGTTACTGTTTTGTGTAATGTATTGTGTTGTAGGCTACAGATTTATTGTAAAGGAAACAGGTTGGAGGAGAGATACACCGGAGCCCTATAAACACTGTTTATGGAGTAATCAAGTTAAGATAAAGTTATTCTGTTAAATGTAAGTTTTGCATAGAGGGGTTACTATTTGGGTAGCATTTTAGATGAGGTGTTAGCAGCCTATAAAAGACAGATTTGAAATGCTTTCTTCTATATGAACAATGACCACAAAACAGAAACAAAATATTTATTTAACTTTTTTTTTATTAGACTTTTGATGTTGCAAAGCCGACTATAACACAAAAATTTATAGGCTTTTCAAGGACTTGACTTCAGGTTGATTATCTAGCCTTGGCCCGACCCAACATATTCCTGCCTCTTTTGTAGATTGAATAATACTGTTTGAGGAAGACATCACTCAGGGTCCACATGTTGCCACCTGTAGCACCGAAGCCTGTGATACAGCTACTATACTGAACCTAGGACAGAGATGTAACAGCAGAATTTCAAATTTCAGAAATCTGCTTCTCTTTTTGTAAAGAAGTCAGAAAATACAAATTAAATTAGGAAAGAATGCTTACCTGATAGACATAGGCAGAGGCTGGCAGAGTGAACTGGTTTCCATTGATGTTGAAGGTCGCATCAGGCATTTGGCCAATGTTGCTGCAGTTGACAATGTACTAGTAGAAAAGGCAGTGATGCAAGAAAGGAATAGAAAATAACCTGGTTTTAAGTAATGTAAAGTTTCCTATTTGTTGGAAATAATACTGCAGTGTGTCAGACAAGAAGATTCACATAATTCATGTCTACATGCAAAAGTTGACAGCAGCCTGCTAAGTTAACCAACTATACAAACAACAGGAAACATGGATAGCCTGAAAACGAGCTTAAACATATGATGATTATGAGTTTTACAGACCACTGACCTCTCCATTCTGGCTACTTGCTCCCAGCCAGGCATTGATGTTGTCAATGTCGCTCTGAGGTCCAACAATCATAGAGGTTCCAGTGTCCACAATAGCCTGACAGCCGTCATTGCAAGCTACAGCCTGACCATTACCAGAAACACTGTAATGGACAACACAGTATTCATCAGGGAAGAAAGTTTTTTGCCAATATAGCTCTATAATGATTCTGAAATCAATACAGGGCTGTAACTTTTGGTTTTACCTGTCAACTGTGATCTGACAGTACAGTTCATTGGAGAGAGGAATCCAGGTGATGGAACCAGAGTAGTGATTGGTATCAACACCACCAAAAGTCACCGCACTGCCTCGCTGATTGTTACTACAAAAGAGTTTAACCAGTGGGGAAACTAGGAATCAGTTTCTGCCTAAATACTAATTGATATATGAGGCATCTATAGATAATTTCTAGAGTCAGGTAGAATGCTGCATAGTACTTACGAGCTCAGATACACGGAGAAGAGGTTCTGGTTGATCAAGCCCCCATTCATCATGTTGTCGAACACAGGTGTTGCACTGGAGAGAGACAGGCTTGGGTAGGCCAGACCAAATATACCGTCAGCCTGCATGTTCTGCATGAAGGGGGCCTCAGTTTGGCTCAA